CCCCAAAACCCCAAAACCCCAAAACCCCAAAACCCCAAAACCCCAATTCTAAACACAAATTTAATAAATAACGATTTATTTGTTCAAACATGAACGCCTGTATGACCCTATTTCTTCCCAAAATGTCCTTAAAATGTATCAAAATTAACCTATTCTTGCTGTAAACCTTCAGATTTGGTCATTCTGGAAGGTTTAAATATTTCGCATACTAATTTGGATACCCTAGGTCAAGATTCGAACCAGCCTTGCATCTTCAACATCTCAGCGTAAGTCATAGAGGTTGTGATAAGAAAGTGAGAGAGGAAAGATGGCATTTACTCAGAAATTTGGGATTATGAGGCCATAGGTGCTGTAGAGAAGATAATTAGACTTGTTCTAAGGTGTTAAGGTGTAGTGTAGTCGATAGTTTTGAGCAAAGTGATCTAATATTTATGAATGGAATTAGAAGCGAGTTTAATATAAATATGAACCAGAATAGTATGAATTGCTTTGTTATAAAAATTCTTATACATAACAGATTTATTCTCATAAATTTCGATATGATACTAAATTTTATTAACTGTCCTTTACAGAATTGCAACAAGGATTTCCAAAAAGAGTATCCCTCACAAGGCAGAGCATAAACTAAACAAGAGTAGAAATTTACTCAAATAAGCACAGTAAGAATCAGCCAAATCTTTCAACCCACTGAAACCTCATCTTGTGCCATAAATCTTTCACTCAAATATTAACTTTACTGTTCAGATACAACCACTGGATGTAAAGGATCATCCAAAAAAAAGGATGCTGGGATTTATAAAGCTTTCATATCCACCAAAAATTTAAAGAGTTCCAAACCAATCCATGCTAAAAGTGTGTGCAAGAAAGAGAAATTAAGCAAAAAGCAAATCTATGGGTCTAAAGTTTCTCCTAAATGCAGTCTGCAGCCTAAGATTTGTAAATAATGTGCTGTACAACAAAACTTTCAGAGTAAGAATTCAACAGAAAATTGGCTAATTATTACAGGCAAAAATTAACCCAAAGTCAAGAATGAGCAGGAACACGAGCAAGCCTAAATATCTAGCAACACGTATTTCTCATTCTTATCTGTATAGAGCCGATTCATTCCTCGTCAACCAAATTGCCAGTAGGGAAAGGTACAGGAGAACTTTTGTTCGGATAAACAAACCTTTCATATAGGTCAGTCTAATAAGAAAAGAGGAACTTCAAAACCTAAAACTAGCAGTGATCAAAGTATTTAATAGCCTTAACAATAGGAGCTAAGTGGTGTAATAGCTTCACTTACACTAAGAAGGAGGCAAATAAGTTTGGTTTACCTAGATCTCCCCAGAACAAGTGCATGAATTCGCCAAGTGCCAGACCGAAGCGACCGTTCATCTGCAGTAAATCTCCGAATATCTCACAAAGATCGACCACTGCAAAGATGGGCTATGTTTCATCGTGAAGGAAACGGAACGAAGATTGTAGATCAAAATGTATATTTATTTATGATTTTTGTCCATAGTCAGCCCTAAAGTGGCTAAGAATTCGGTTCCTCAGAGCTACAGAAATGTAATAATCCCAGCTCCAAGGATTAACAAAAAGTTAATCCATAAGAAAGATAAGGCCAAAAGAGGTGTAAAGTAAGACATTAGGTTAAATTATAGGCGTTCACCCCCTGCAGTACCTAAAAGAAGCATTAAACTGAATGTACCAGCTTCTGGGTCAAGGAAGATCTCCCCAAAACCGTCAAATTCTAAAATTGAGAAATACTCTAAGTACATCAGCAAGAAAAATACTCAGAAAAATAAGAACAAGTCAGTTAAAAATAAAGAGATATGTGACGGAAGTACCCCTTCAACAGTCAATATCAGCGTTGAAATGCTTGAATGCTTACCTCCTGACAAAGAGAGCGAATTGCTAGATAGCGACAAGAATGTTGCAGGCATTCTCTCAGGAAGTAATTTCAACAATTTATTCGTAGGTATTCAGGAAAATCGAACCAAAGAATCTCCCACATTGATTTATGATATGCCAGAAGACCTTGAAAGTGAGATCTCTAGTTTCAAAGGATCAATTTCTCCTGAAAAACTCTTTGTAAATTCTTCTGATTTCTATGACAACCCAGTAGAAAGAAGAATAGAAATTTTAGAGATCCAAGATGCTCTACTTGACGAACTTTGCGACTCAAATCAAGCCCCAATAGACCAAAAAGTATACCAAATAGAGCTCCTAAACAACTCAAATGACAGTCAACCATCCTCTTCAAACTCCAAAACCACCCGAAACCACCACAAATCCCCTCGAGAACTATCCTTCGGTCCAAGTAATCCCCAAAAGAGAAGTTCTCCCAGTCAGACCAACTACAAAAACTGGAATTCTCAGCTTGGCCAGGACCACAGTGACTGAAGAAGGAAGAGGCTGTGCGAGAAATTTGACTGTAGTGGGGATGAACAAGTGAGGAAGGAAGGAAATTGAGGTTCACAAGCAGGAGAGTTTTTAGTGAGGGAGGGTCGTGTGGGTTAATAATTATTTAGAAGTTGTGTGCTGAGGGGTTTTGGGGTTTTGGGGTTTTGGGGTTTTGGGG